GGTCAGTGACCAAACCAGGGCGGAGAGGATTATTTCTGCTTAAATAATCTAATTAATTGCTTGCCTCTTGAGTGTGAGAGAAGTGTGTCAGTCCTTTCATCGCAATTCAGTCTTTCTACACAGGTGACCCACCATTCCCTTAGGTAAAGATCTATGGGTCTTAACATCGTGTATTTCTGCTAAAGGAGTCTCAGTAAAATAACTAGATAAGGTGATGCTAAACATTTACATAGATTCCTACCAAGTACAATAAAAAAGTCGTAAAATGGTCAACAACTTTTTAATCAGAAACACTGGTTGTTTGGGCAAGTCACTTCAACTCTCTGAGCCTTGGTTTTCACACCCAGGTCAAGAACCAGTAGCCTCCTTGATGATTCATTCATTCATTTACCAACAAAGATTAAGCACCTACTATATGCCCAGCTCCATCTTAAGCCCTGGATCACTGTACAGATTATAGATAATACAGGTAAAGTTTAGCATAGCTTCTAATACTTCTGTGCTTACTCAAATGATATATGTTTTCCTTTCTTCAGAGTTTGAACTTTTGATGCTCAAAACAACATAGCATTATGTAGGGCCCTATTTCTCCACCCTAACTGATCTTGGCAATAAACTATCCACATGTATCCCAAGAAGCACTAGGAGAAAGGACAGGGTTGAGGCAAGTGAAGAAAAAAGATAAGCCACATCCCCTGCTACCCATGAGAAGGGTTTGCAGAGATCCCCAAGAGGCAATCGACATGAGCCTCTGGGATAGAAAAACACAACTATTGTTGGGGATGCAGTGAATGTAAAGACTGTTGAGGAGAGAGATCAGTCCAATGTTTCTGATGTAACATTGCAAATAGACATCTAGCTAACCTGAATTTCAGTGTTAAAAGCAAATTTATTCTGAGTTTTGAGGCGAGCCTGTCATAACAGGTATTATCTCAGTGACCCTTTGCTTGAGTTTGGTTATGGTTTATTTAATTCAGGACATTTGGGATTTGCGATGCAAGGAAGGGGAATGGCTGTCATTTGTGAGAAACTCAGTCCAGACGTCTAAGGAACTATATTGGTCTTAAAATTGTGGGTGACCATCTAAAATCTCATGTTTGTTGTAACCCATTGGATATGGGAGGCATGGAAGGTCCTTAAGTATTGCTTCCCAAACAGAGTGGATGTGGCCAGACACTGAAGTTAGCTGTTAAAAGATGTGTGCTCAGGCCCTGTTTCTACCACTTTCTAATTTGGCAAGCTTCAAGTCTTAGCTTTCCCAGCCATAAAATGGGGTTGAGAATACCACACTTGCTGCATGTCGGGGCCAAATGAGATGATGTAAATGTGAAGGAATTTTTCATTAATAATTATATGTTAAAACTTCAGCTACCACTTATATCATCATCATCGTTATCATTCAAGAAACTTTCAACCCAAGTAGAAGTCACAACTTTCTGACTTCCTTTTTTTTTATACATCTTTATTGGAGTATAATTGCTTTACAATGTTGTGTTAGTTTCGCTGTACAACAAAGTGAATCAGCCATATGCATACATATATCCCCATATCCCCTCTCTCTTGAGCCTCCCTACCACCCTCCCTATCCCACCCCTCTAGGTTGTCACAAAGCACCGAGCTGATCTCCCTGTGCTATGTGGCTGCTTCCCACTAGCTAGCTATTTTACGTTTGGTAGTGTATATATGTCAGTGCTACTCTCTCACTACATCCCAGCCTCGCCTTCCCCTGTTGTGTCCTCAAGTCCATTCTCAACATCTGCATCTTTATTCCTGCCCTACTACTAGGTTCATCAGTACCAGTTTTCTAGGTTCCATATATATGCGTTAGCATACGGTATTTATTTTTCTCTTTCTGACTTGCTTCACTCTGTATGACAGACTCTAGGTCCTTCCACCTCACTACAAATAACTCAGTTTCGTTCCTTTTTAGAGCTGAGTAATATTCCATTGTATATATGTGCCACATCTTCTTTATCCATTCATCTGTCAGTGGACATTTAGGTTGTTTCCATATCCTGGATATTGTAAATAGTGCTGCAGTGAACATTGTGGTACATATATCTTTTTGAATTAAGGTTTTCTCAGGGTATATGCCCAGTAGTGGGATTGCTGGGTCATATGGTAGTTCTATTTTTAGTTTTCTAAGGAACTTCCATGCTGTTCTCCATAGTGGCTATATCAGTTTACATTCCCACCAACAGTGCAAGAGGGTTCCCTTTTCTTCACACACTCTCGAGCATTTATTGCTTGTAGATTTTTTGATGATGGCCATTCTGACCGGTGTGAAGTGATACCTCATTGTGGGTTTGATTTGCATTTCTCTGATCATTAGTGATATTGAGCATCTTTTCATGTGTTTGTTGGCCATCTGTATGTCTTCTTTGGAGAAATGTCTATTTAGGTCTTCTGCACATTTTTGGATTGGGTTGTTTATTCTTTTGATATTGAGCTGCATGAGCTGCTTGTATATTTTGGAGATTAATCCTTTGTCTGACTTCCTTCTTGAGTGAACCAAAATCTGTCACCTATACAATAAGACTTAATTTTTTTTTTACTTTTTTTATTGCTTGTTTGAAGATTAGTAATAAACCATAGCAAATATTAGGTTTGTTTGTGTGTGTCTGTCTGTCCATCTGACTTAGTCTTTGCAACCCGTTTGAGATTTAAGTGATGAACCACTAAAATGGCCTAATAGAAACATTTCTTAAGAAATATGAAAGGGATGAACTTAGAAACCAGGGGGGGAAAAGTTAGAATGCTCTAAGCAATTCTTAGAATAGAATATTGAGTTCAGCCTAATATTATTTATGTTTGGGGCCCATGTGAGTTCTGTCACTTTATGCAGAATTTATTTGCATAGCCTAATCAAATAACCATATATTCTCTGCATGTTACAGTCATTTTGGCGTCATCTGATGTACTAGTGTTCCCATAATTAGGCTGGTTAATTCAAAGAAGCCAGGATAAAGTCAGGGCAGAGATGAATATGAATTAGCATTTGCACTTGGATTAAAACTGAGAAAAGCTGAAGTAGCTCGGAGTAGGCATTTTCTCAGTGAGCATCTTTCCACTTGGCAGTCAACCTTATCTGAAGTCTTCCTTGATCTCCTCCCAACTGTTGTACGTTGGGTGCAAGTAGAAACTCTTAGTGGAGCATATTGCTTTCATATCTGAGGTTAGATTTGAAGAATTTTCTTCATCTGTTTCCGCTCAAATATTCTACTCTCAACACTGAAATAAATATATTCTGAAACTCCATTCTGTAACTATAGAAACCCTGATCTTCAGTGCATTTCAGCTGGAAACACAAAAGAACGCTAAGTTAAAGAGGAGTATGTTGTTCATTATTGACCTATGAACAGCTTAGATTTCATAAGCCATTAAGTTTCTGTAGATTCAGGGTTTTTACCTCTCCTTTTTCTTTCCCCATTTTTGAAATTAGAGCTAGCCATATTTAAACAATAAAATGATGCTGAAACAATGCAATGAATATGATTTTAGTTCAACTGTTATTTATTGAGGACTTGCTATAATACACTGAGTGATATGTGGACTTGCCCTCAAGGAACATACAGCCTTGTATGCGCAACTCAAAAATAAACAAGACACAAGGAAACGAGATAACACCAATATAGACATACAAATAAATGTCGTGGGGCTTAGAGGAAAGAATGGTCATGTCTAATTAGAGAGGCTCAAAAAAGAATCAGAAGTATTTAACTTCTCTTACCTCTTTTCAGCCCCATCCTTCAAATAGGCACAAGTCCTGCCAACTTTATGATATTAATATTTCTCCAAACCTTCCCTGTCCTCCACCTCATTATCACTTCTCATCATTTCTTGCCTGGATTATGGCAGTAGCTTCTAAATAGGCCTCCTGCTTCCCACTGTTCTTTCCCTCCTCCAATCTATCTTCCTCCTCCCGCAGAGTCATGTATTTAAAATGCTAATGTCTATCACTTCTCAGATTTATAGCCTCTGGTAAATCATGAGGATTCCCCAAAGGAGAACCCCATGTCCTCAGAGTAGACAGATACTCTTTATAAGGAGGTCTCACCACCTCTTCAGCCTCATGTCCCTGTGCTGTATGTACCCTGTACCAGAATCTTCCTGCAGTCTTTAGCTTGATCATATCCTCAGGTCATGGTACATGTTGTTCCTCCTGTCTGGGAGATTCTCCCTAAACTTTTCCCACTGACAAGCTCTTTCTCACCATTTAAGTCTCACATAAATTGACACCTCCTCCAGGAAGCCCACCCCATTGCTTTCCACCCCCTCTTTATCTTCCTCCAATGAGATAAATGTGCCCATATTGCTCTCAGCAATCTTTTGTGCAGCAATATCTGTCATTTTATCCCTCTGTCCCTGCCAAGAACACATTACTGTGTGTTCATTAAAGTCGTGCTTTTTAATTTTTTTTTCTTTGTTCCCCAGCACCTTACTTGATACAGTGTAGGCATTCAATAAGTGTTTGGTGAATGAATGAAGGTGAAATAATGAAAACTGCAGAGATGGCAGTGGAAGGACATTGGGGCAAAGGAAAAGTTCAAGATTATCTGTAACATGTTTGGTTTTGAGGTGAAGGTAAATAAATACCCCAGTATTCCTAAAGGGAAGGGAACAAAAAGGAGACAAAAAGAGAGGCGATATTAGGAGATGAGAGCTTACTTAGCTTCCTAGGTATTCATCTATGTGGACTGTGATTTCTTGAAATAGATTTTGATTGATTCAGGCATTTAAATAACAAATATTGGGGTTTTGTTGCTTCCAAATACGTGACTCTCAGTACATGTAACACAAAAATTGCAAGGAATGTGTTAGCAGCTTAGAGATATCATACCAAGACTTTTTATACTGAACAAAGAAGAGAAATATTTTAAATATTTTAAAACACATTTTATTTGAGCTGTAGGATAAGAAGAGGTGTTCTTCATTTGATAAGAAACTTAATCATAAATGCCTTGCCATGTGATAGACTCTTTATTTTCCATTTTCTTTAGGGTGGAAAGAAAGGAACGTGCCCGATTGAAGACAGTGAAGTTTAATGCAAAACCTGGAGTGATTGATTCAAAAGGGGTAGGTACAAAATAATCGAAACATTAAATTCTCTCGTTTGCCATGGATTTAACTATAATTGACATTTAAGCTGTTGCTAACAAACAGATCATGGAGCTACTGGACAGTAGAGCACTGTTATAAATGTATTGCTATGCAGTGATGTAATTTCTGATGAAGTAGATTTACGATAAATAAATTTTGGGAGTAAAGCTGCTAGTGGTCAGGAGAAATGATGGGTTATGAAGGTGATGTAATGACTATAGTGAGGAAGAAAAAAATAGTTTCGATGTTATTTAATTTTTTTCTTTTAAATTAAATATTCTAAAAGGATAGATTCCATAAAAGATACCTGCTCATCATAAAATATGTCTAGTCTTTTACGTATTATAAAGTCAGGATAGTCATGGAAATATACATATGGATCACCTAAGTGAATACATGGATTGTTGTGACAGACATAGAAAAGAAGAAAGTAAACAAATGAAATTTAGAGTTATGCAACCATCACCACAGTCAATTTTAGAACATTTCATCACCCCATAAAGAAATCTGTAGCTGTCACTTCCCTCTCCCTCAACCCCAGCCCCTCCCCACCCAGCCTAGGCAACTACTAATCTACTTTGTCTCTATATATTTGCCCATTCTGGATAGTTCATATAAATGGAATTGTACACTATGTGGTCTTTTGTGACTGTTTTTTTCACTTTACATAATGTTCTCAAAATGCCTCTGTACCTTATGTGTGTAGCATAAATAAATACTTTTTTTCTTTTCGTTGCCGAACAATATTCCATTGTATGGATATACCTCATCCAATTTATCCACTCATCAGGTGATGGACATTTGCATTGTTTTCACTTTGGGACTGTTATGGATAATGTTGCTATAAATATTTGTGCACAAATTTTTGTGTAGACATATACTCTTATTTCCATTGGGAATATACCTAGGAGTGGGATTTCTGGGTCATAATGATAGCTCTATATTTAACATTTTGGGGAACTGCCAGACTGTTTCCCAAGGTGGCTATAACATTCTACATTCCCACCATCAGTGTATGAGGGTTCCAGTTTCTCTACATCCTCACCAACACTTGTTATTATATGTCTTTCTGCTTATAGTCATCCTGTTTGGTCTGATGTGGTATCTCATTGTGGTTATGATTTTTATTTCCCTAATGACCATTGGTATAGAACATCTTTTCATGTGCTTATTGACCATTTGTATATCTTCCTTGGAGAAATGTCTATTCAGATCCTTTGCCCATTTTTAAAATTGGGTTCCTTTGTTGTTGTTGAGTTGTAGAAGTTCTTTGTATATTCCAGATATTAATCTCTTATCAAATATATGCTTTCCAAATATTTTCTCCCATTGTATGAGTTGTCTCTCTTGATAGTGTCATTTGATTCACAAAAGTTTTTAATTTTGACAAAGACCAAATTTATCTTATTTTTTCTTTTGTTACTTGTGTTTTTGTTATTATATCTAAAAAACCAAGGCCATGAAGATTTATGCCCGTATTTTCTTCTAAGAATTTTGTAGTTTTAGCTCTTACATTTAGGTGGTTGATCCGTTTTGAATTAGTTTTTGTATACGATATGAAGTAGGGTTGCAATTTCATTCTTTTGCACATGAATTGTTTTCTGTTCATTTTTGGATTGTTCACTGCAAGTGTATAGAAATACAGTTATTGTGTATATCAGTCTTTTATCCTGCTACCTTGCTGAATCCATTTATTAATTGTAGTAGCTTTTTGGTAGATTCCTCAGGATTTTCTATCTACAAGATCATGTCATATGTAAAAAGAGAGAGTTTTACTTCTTTCTTTCCAATCTGGATGACTTTTATTTCTTTATCATAACTGATTGCCTTGTCTAGAACTTCCAGTGTTGGATGGAAGTCGCAAAAACATTCATCCTTGTCTTGTTCCTGACCTTAAGGGGAAAGCATTTAATCTTTCCTATTAAGTATGATGTTAGCTGTGGGTTGTAAAGCTTTTTAAATTTAGTATTTTTAAGTCATAGTACTAGTATCTTATTGCTATATCGTAAAATACCTTTTCCCACCTTCTGCCTTCCTGTTCTCTTTCTCTTCATCTCCTTTCCTTTACTTTTCTGTTCTAATAATTTTGGCTGTGAACATCACACTGAACCACAAGTTTAGGTCAATAGATGTCACCATGAAAAACGAGAAGAAAAGCTCACAAGTTTTGAGCCCTAAACCACAACACTGCCCTTTGTATTTTGAAGTAGAAGTGTCACTGGGCAGCCCAGTCATTGACGTAATAATTTACTTTCCCCTAAAACATTCAGGTGAAATGGGAATTTATTTAAACATGGTGTCACTCTTAAAAAAAAAAAGTGAGGCTGTGTGTCATCATGCATGGAGTCCTTTCAGACAAATACTGCTTCCGTACAAAGGGGTAGGATTTTTCATTGATTCTTGGTGAGAATTTAAGGATAGATTTCCTGTTTGTTTCATATATATAGTTGGATATACATCAGAGAATTTTTGTTGAATACCTACCATGTGCCAGACTCAGGATTAGAACTTGTAAAAGATACAAAGTGTAACATAGGCCCTTCCCCTCAAGAGCTCCTAACATCAGTTAGAGCCCAGATGTCTTTTTGTTAAGGCCAAAACTTGTGTTGTGTTTTTTTAAAATCATATTGCTAAATACAGTTAGGTATGATCCAATGAATAGAATATAAATTCAAGGACTTGAATGACTGTTGAAGGAGAGGCAGTGATCATGTGAAAAGGGAAACCCTGGACTGAAAGTCATGAGAGTCAGGTAGCCTGGGTTCTGGTTTCAGTTCATTACTAAGTCACCACTGCTCTTTGGACCTCATTAGCAAAATAGCAGCTTTGAACTACATCAGGGATGTCAAACAAGTTTCATCTCCTATGGGAACCGATGAATTGATGGTTTCTAACTAGAATATTGTGTTGAAAATGACTCTGAGGCCATATGTAACTTCAGCAGGAAAAGTGTTCTGATTGATTAGTCATGCCTAGCGCAACATTGGGAATTGTTCTCTATTTGAGGTCCCCGGATTCAATGATTTTTTAAGGTGCCTTCCAGCAATAATTCTCCATGAGCCTGTGAATTAAGAAATAATAAACCAAAGTTTTCTAAGTCCCCATGAGAACAATACATCAATGAGAAGACTCTTGCCCTGAAGTAGAAAGCAAAGGACAATTAAGAGAAAGTGCACTGAAGAAAGGCCAACTCTGTGGAGAGTTGGGAAAGTCAGGAGATGCCACTCACTCTGAGCCTTGGACAAGGACTACAGAAATAAGTCATTGTTACAAAGGCCTCAGTCTCTGGGACCCTGGGGTAAATTTAGCATAATCTGAAGAGGAAAGCTGTTTGGAATGAGAAAGAGACTGGGATATTTTAAGTAACTTTATCATTAGATGGCATTCACAGAGCATTGTGAGGTGTTGGGGATTCAGAGTGAAAGCCATGGTTACTACCCTGGAGGATCTTAGAATCAATTAGTATGTATAAAGCAGGCTGTGACAAGAGCCTTATTAGTAGTGTGTACAGAGCTATGGGGATTCAGATGAATGGATGTGGGAATGACCAGAGAGCACTTCATAGAAGGACTTGGGCTTTAATTAGCCTATCAGTGCTTGAGTTACTTTTCCAGAACTATTCATTAATTTTTAAAAATTGAGTGCTGCACAACACCGGGTACCGTGCTAGGTGCCTTGTAGGGCAGCAAAGTGATTAAAAAGGCAAAGACTTTTTATACTTTCGTAAAAAGTATACTTTTTATACTTTCATACCATGGAGCTCACAAAGAGAAATATAAGCAGACAAACAATGGTGATACAATATCACTGATGATCCCCATAGATTTAGGGAATTAGTCTCTATTTTAAATATCATGAGATTGCACCTCAGGAAGATTAACTAATTTACCTAAGATCACACAGCTAGTATGTACAAAAGTCAGTTTTAAATTCAAATCCTTTTGACAGTAGAACATTTGCCCTTTTCATTCCTTCACACTATCCCTTATTCTGTTGGAGGTCAGAAGAAGAAGAGAGTTACTAATTATGCCTTGGAAAAGAGAGAAGACTTCAAAGAGAAGGTGATACTTCAGCAAGATCTTGAAGTTTGAGTAAGAGTTTGCCACACATAAGAAATAGCATGTACGTGAAGGTGGAAACTGTAGGCATATTGGAGTAAGGCCAAGCAGGTCAGGGACACCAGATGGAAGGTGTGGATGTGTGGTGGGAGTTGTAGCTAATGGGGCTGACTGGGAAGATCTGGAAGGTTGGGGAGCTTGTATGGAAAGCCTGACTATGAGCTTTGATGCTTCCTGGGTTTGGAGAGTATCTATGAGGAAATCTGAGGCTCTCCATTACAAAGTGCCCATTTGCTACAAATGAAATGCCCAGGCTTTCTGTCCACCTCATGTGCCTTCACAAAGTCTGTGTCTACACATGCAAAGACAAGTGGACAGTTGTGTCAGTAACCCAGATAATTCCAGCCTACCCAGACCCAAGTGGCCATCCGTTTGGATGGATCTCCTTGAGAACTGTCTCAGTGCCCCAGATCTCAATGCACCCAAGCTTTCCTGAGAATGTCAGCTAAATTTCTAATGAATCTCCATTCAAACTAGCTTCTGGTGAAAACTTAATCACCACCTTAATTTCTTTCATTGTTCTTCTACCTTTTTTATCAGTTTTCTAATCAGCCATTCTATTTTATTTATTGAGACATTTAAGAATTTGTATAATCTTCAGAATCAACCTGTTTTCCATTGAAAAATCAGTGGTATTTAGTGATTTATGCTAAATTTTGTTTTATTTTTATTTAAAAGTCCCTATAATTTAAGGAAGGGAAATATATGTCTGAAAGAGTATGAGAGAATTATTACTATTCTTACTAAATGTCAGCAATGTGCAGTGTATAAGGGCTCCCTTTGCATTGTAAATCCTTTCTAAAGTAAGGTAGGCTATAAATAACTAGTCCTATTTAGCCACAGGCTGATACAAAACAG